GTCGTCGCGTTATTGCACCAACACCTTCTCTTCCACCCCTCAACCCCACACCCGCACCTACCACCTTCATGCGCAAGGGCGTGCGCGATCAGGCGGAGGTTTTCTCTGCTATCCAGGCACACCTGAAGCACGTCAATTTCAAGCTCCAGCACGGCGACATCGAAAGCGCACTCGCCAACGTTGCGGAAATCGAAACGCTCATCCACAAGAGTTTCGAAGTCCTCTTGGTGGCGGACGAGGCGGGGTTCGAGGCTGTCGATCGTTTTCAGCTATACCAGTCCAAGAGCGTGTTAACCTCCCGCTCTTACAAGCTCGCCGTTGCGGATGTGGCGGCTCTCAAGCGTGCACGCGCCGGCTATACTCGCGGTAATCGCATGCCTACCCGAGATGGTGACACGGAAGGCAAGGGCATGCCTCCCGCAAGCTGCCACGAGCCCCGCTTCAAAGGGGTGTGCTTCCGATGCGGCCAGCCCGGCCATATGGCAAATGCTTGCCCTATGGGAGGGCGGGGCGCTCAAGGCCCCTCACCCGTCGTGTGAGGAGGCACACGGGGCGGAGCCCCTTGCCACTATGCCGGGGGGCGTAGGTGGAGCACCGAGGGTGCATGGCTGGTAGCTAGCAGGGAGTATGGGCTGGAGGCCTTAGAAATCCCTAGCCATAAGGGTAGCTATGGGGGCAGTACATGCTATGTACCCATGTGTGGTAATAAAAGTTTGCCTCTGGTTTTCAAAAAAAAAAAAAAAAAAAAAAAAAACACCCACACATGCAACCAAACAAAGTGGGAGAGAAGGAAGTAAAGCCAAGGCAGCCATTCCAACCCAAGCGCCCCCCTGACTTGAAGGGAAGAGTACGAAGGAAAGAGGAAGAAAACGAGATGGAAGGAAAACGTGCGAATACGGGGCAGAGTTCGAGAAGAAGAGCAAATGGAAAGATCGGAAGAGGAGTGAGCAAGAGAACGAGAGAGCGAGCGAGAGAGAGAGAGAATGCAAGGAAGAGAAAGGGAGAGAGAGAAAGAGAGAGAGAGAGGGAGAGGGAGGGAAAGAGAGCGAGAGAGAGCGAGAGAGAGCAAGAGCGAGAGAGAGAGAGCGAGAGCGAGAGAGTGAGAGCGAGAGAGAGAGTGTGTGTGTGAGAGAGAGAGAGAGAGAGAGAGAGAGAGAGAGAGAGAGAGAGAGAGAGAGAGAGAGAGAGAGAAAGAGAGTGAGAGCAAGAAACATGGAGAAAGGAAGACTAGAGGAGGGAGGATACAAGGAGAGACGGAAGGCGTAGCACCGAGTATGCATAAGCCCCCGGGCTGGTCCTATGGGCAAAGGCTAATCACCCAATACACCACACCCCGGTTGCCCCACGTGCAGTAGCGGACGACAAGTGGCGAGAGGCGGAATGGGACCCATACGAGAACGCGGTCACAGATGACACAGTGAAGGTCATGCGCAACCGATTGCGTAACCAACTGCATTGGTGGATATCGTGGTGCGACAGCAGTTTTATCATCTCTATTATTGCCAGGGGATATTGGCTGCCTTGGAAAACTACAGAACCGCCACCCTTCGAAACCACAAACCACGCGGGTGTTCATGCACACACCACGTTCACTCGTGAGGCCATTCGCGACTTAATCACATCGGGCGCGGCAACCAAGGTCGCCTCGCGGACTGCGCTCTTGTGCGTGAGCCCACTCAACGTGGTAGAACAACGCGACAAATGTCGCCTCATCCTCGACCTACGCAAGGTCAACCAACACCTCCAAGTCACTAAATTCAAATACGAGGGCCTGAATCGCGTTTCGGAGATCATTCGACGCAACGACTGGCTGTTCACCATTGACCTAAAATCGGGCTACCACCATGTCGAGATGCACCCTTCGTGCTGGAAGTTCCTAGGCTTCCAATTCGAAGGCGAGTTCTACTGCTTCCGAGCCTTGCCGTTTGGACTGGCGACAGCACCTTTCGTCTTCACCCAGTTGATCAAGCAATTGGCCAAACGCTGGCGGGCGCGGGGCGTGCGCGTAGTCCCATATGTGGACGACCTGCTATTCCTCTGCGACTCGGCGGAGCACGCACGCAAGACATGCACAGAGGTTCTCCGAGACCTGGGGGCGGCAGGTTTCGTGATCAACGAAAAGAAATCACGCCTCCATCCGGCCCATCAAACACGATTTCTGGGGATGGAGCTGGACACGACATGCGGCATGTTTAGCATCGGCTCCGATCGGCGAGCGCAGTTCCTCGACAAGCTGCACACACTCATTTCCAAGGGGCAACGCGGCCAGCAAGTCCCAATTCGGGAAGTCACTCGTATCACCGGAATGTTGAGCTCTATGTCCCTCGCATTGGGCACAACAGCACGCGCCTTCAGCCACGAGCTGCTACAATTGATCGAGACAGCGGCATCCTGGAACTCAAGGATCGGGCTGACACGGGCCGCCATCGAGGAGCTAATCTTCTGGCAACTGCACTTCGACCAGTTTAACGGTGCCCCATTTCACCTAAGCCATCAATTCGATGCTGTGATCCACGTCGACGCGAGCGCTCACAGCTGGGGCGCCACCCTCACCAAGTTTACCGACGCGTCGTACGAAGCAAGCGCCAGCATGCCGAGCGAGCTCCTCCCAACCTCAAGCACTCAAAGGGAGCTCGAGGGTGTCCTCTGGGTGCTACAGACATTTGCGTCCCATCTCACAGGCGGCCACGTTTTGGTTCGCGTGGACAACCAAGGAGTCATGTTTATCTTGCGCAAAGGGGGGTCCAGTCAACCTCGGCTCACACTGACTTGTCAAGCAGTCATACAGTTTTGCCTCAAGAACCATACACGTCTGGCAATCGAATGGATCCCAAGGGAGCTCAACGCCCACGCGGACGAACTGTCAAAACTCCAAGACCATGACGACTACTCGCTGCACATGCCATGGTTTCGCCTACTGGAACGTCGATGGGGCCCCCATACGATCGACCTTTTCGCGAACATTAGCAACAGGAGGCTGCAACGATTCTGCTCCAAGATACCGCACCCAAGTGCCACAGCAATTGACGCGTTCTCGATCTCGTGGAAAGGCGAGCGGTGCTTCACCTTTCCGCCCCCCGGCTTGATCCCAGCCACACTCTCTCACGCCAGGCGCACACAAGCCGAGTTGACACTCGTCGTCCCCAAGTGGCCGGGAGCAGCATGGTGGCCGTTGCTACAACCCTCCCCAGAGACATGGGCCCCAGAAGTGATCGCATGCTTGCCACTCGCTCAAGGCAGCCAGTGCCTTCGACCTGGTTCGCATGCAACAGCATTTTCCGGACTAGGCCTACCCCATAGCCCAATAATTGCCTTGCATGTAAAATATCATACGTGACTAGTATTCGAGTGTTAATTCTTTCAGGATTATTGACCCAGCTTCAAAACCAACTGTTACAAGTTATAAATGATGTTCGCGAACCGTCTACGATCGAGACATACCAGCCTTACTGGCTCAAATTTCGCAACTTTTGCACCCGAGTCAAGCTAGCTTTTCTGCCAGCGACGGACCTCACGCTGGCACTCTACCTAGTCCATGCGTTGAACAACAAGGCAACAACGTCAGCGATCAACCTCACATGCTCTGCCGTAGCCTTCGCCCATCGAATGACCGAAGAGGCATCCCCAACGAACGGCCCGTTCACGCTGCAAGTACGAGAGTTCGCTAAGCGACATGGCCTACGCCCAACAAGGACCAAGGAACCCGTGTCACTACATCAAGTGCACAACAAGGCACGACCATTCCTGGAATCAACAGTGCCGGCGGAATATCAGAAAGGCTTGATACCTCTCTTGATGTTCGCGGCATTCCTGCGCTACTCCGACCTGATCTCCCTCCAATGGAACGACATTCAGTTCGAAGGGGAGGCAATGTGGCTACTGATTCCCTACTCTAAGACGGACCAAGAAGGCAAGGGCACGTGGATCCCGGTCGCAGCGTCAGCAGGGCCCTACTGCGCAGTGAGATGCACACGGGAGTTCATTCGCATCGCAGGCCTTGCAAACATGCCTCACGGGCCACTGATTCGGGTTTTCAACAAAAGGGCACAGGCCTCGCCGCACGACAAATCGCCTTCATACCCAACCATTCGGAGCTGGTGCCTCGAGGCGTGCAAGAAGGCAGGGCTCGACGCCACACACATCGGGACACACTCATTCCGCAAGGGCGCGGCAACGGCAGCAGCGGCGTTAGGCATCCCTGACCGGCTCTTCAAACGAATGGGGCGATGGCGCAGCGACGGCGCGAAGGATCTCTACGTCACCATCGCCCAAGACCAACTCATCGACCTCTCCACCCGGCTGCAGGACACCTCTGCAGCCCCGTCGCCTGGTCGGCACCAGCAATCGTTGGAGGCACCGCCGACCCAAAATGCACTTGCCTCAGAAGACCCACTTGGAATGAAGCACGCTGCATTTGCAAGATGGACTAAGCAAGCTTTCACAATATTATAATTTTTAAAAGTGTAACACTTTTTCAATTTTCGTATTGTGAAAGCGAGGACGTGGCCAGCAAAGCAAAGGTAGCGGCTCGACGCTACTCACCCCTCTTTTGCCTACAAGAGAGGGACGTGGGTTCAGTCGCCTTCACCCACGTTCTTCATTTCCAACTTTTCTAGTTTACTTTCCCACCACCCACCCCATTGTGTATCATTTATGAACGAGAACGTTGTATTACCCACTTGGAATGAAGCACGCTGCCTTTGCAAGATGGACTAAGCAAGCTTTCACAATTCCAGACATTTGTAAGGCTGTCAATGGCAACACCCTTCTATGATGTCCATACCAAATGTACCACCATCTCTACTCCTCCCCCTCATTTTCAATACGGTATGACAACGGGGCTGCCAACGGCAGCACACAAGGTGTGCAGTCCATTTTCGACATACAGCGTCACTCCAGTGATACCGTAGCAGAGGGCCAGAGAGCCCACACACAGACAAGCAGAACTTGTGTATCACATATATTCATGATACAGCGTACACAGCAAAGAACCAACTCTCCTACTTCCCGGCATTGGCAATGGCCGGGCTGTCAACAGCAACACCCATGGCGTGCAGCCCATTGTCAACATACAGCGTCACGCCAGTGATAGCCGAAGCCAGAGGGGAAGCGAGGAAAGCTGCTGTGGCGCCCACCTCATCAGCGTCAAGCTCCTTGGGGAGAGGGGCGTTGGCGGTGGAGTAGTTGATCATGTTGTCTATGAAGCCTATGGCTTTGGCCGCCCTGCTGCGGAGTGGACCTGCGGGATGGGGAGGAAGGGGGGCAGGGGGCAGGGTGCAGGGGGCAGGGGGCAGGGGGCAGGGGGCAGGGTGCAGGGGGCAGGGGGCAGGGTGCAGGGGGCAGGGGAAGGGTGGGATGAGCACGGAAGGCGGTGGTAGCCCCCACCTCATCAGCACCTAGCTCCTTGGTCAGGGGGGTGTTGGCGGTGGAGTAGTTGATCATGTTGCCTATGAAGCCTATGGCCTTGGCCGCCCTGCTGCAGAGAGGGCCTGAGGGACTACCAGGGTGGGGGGGAGAAGGTGGGGTAGAGGGGGATTAAGCCACCCAGGATAGTGTTGACCCGGATGACTTGTGCCCCGACTCCCATGCCAGCACATACGTGTAGCTCTCCGGAGCCCTTTTTGACTTCCCACAAACACCAGGTAACAGCAGGATTTCGGGTTTAGGGCATGCAGAGGTCGATTGCCACAGCACTACCTTCTTTTGAGGCGCCTCAAAAGTCTTATGAGGCGCCTCAGCAGAGGTCGATTGCCACAGCACTGCTTCTGCCGTACTTGCGCCCCGCCTCCCATGCCAGCACCAAGCAGAGCCCTTCTTCTGCCATGCCCCAAAGCAGTACCTGCAGAGATGGTGTTGACGCGGATGCCATACTTGGTTGACTTTTGAGTCGACTCAAAAGTCAAAGCAGTACCTGCAGAGATGGTGTTGACGCGGATGCCGTACTTGCGCCCCGCCTCCCACGCCAGCACACGAGTGTCGCTCTCGAGAGCCGCCTTGGCGGAGCTCATGCCGCCTCCGTACCCGGGGATGATCTGCTCCGATGCGATGTAGGTCAGCGAGACGACGGACCCGCCTGGTGGGGGGGAGTGGTGGGGAGAGGGAGAGAAAGGATGGCTCAAAGGAGGGAGTTGGGCTCAGGACGCCTCTCGAGAGCAGCCTTGGCGGAGCTCTTGCTGCCGCCGTACCCGGGGATGATCTTGTCCAATGCGATGTAGGTCAGCGAGACGACGGACCCGCCTGAAGGGGGAAAGCCGGGAGAGGAGAGGGTGCATGATGCACACTCCAGAGGTGCCTCATACCGCCGCCGTACCGAGCCGAGGCGATGTAGGTGAGCGAGATGACAGAGGAAAGGGAGAAACCGAATGGGAGGGGAAATAAATCATACCTGCATTGGTGATGGGGCCGAAGCGCTGTACGAGGGAGATGAAGGAGAAGGACGAGGCGGAGATGGCGACCCCTTGCTGTACCCCTTGCTCCCTGCCCCGTGCTTCCCACCCATCCGCCCCACCCCTTGCTGTACCCCTTGCTCCCTGCCCCGTGCGTCCCACCCATGCGCCCCACCCATTGCTCGACGTGCTACAAAACAGCTCAGCAGCCCACTGGCCGGTGCCAGGGAGGGAGGTGGGGAGCGGACAGTACCTTTGTTGGTGATGGGGCCGAAGCGCTGCACGAGGGAGATGAAGGAGAAGGACGAGGCGGAGATGGCGGCCAGGTACCCCTTGCGGGACGTGTCGAGCAGGTCCTTGGTCACCTCGGGGCCGTTGGCCAGCGAGTGCACGAGAATGTCGATCGACCCGTAATCCTCCTTCACCTTGGCCGCTACTTCCTGGAAAATGTGACGGGGAGAGGATGAGCGTGGAGAGAGAGGAAGAGACGGGAGGGAGTGTGGAAAGAAGAGGGGGTGGAGGGTAGTAGCATCGCCTGAGTTGACTTTTGAGACGTCTCAAAAGAGGGGGTGGAGGGTAGTAGCATCGCCTGAGTTGGAAGGGTGAGAGCTAATGGACCCGAGGAGAGCGCCACCAGGGTATCCCTTGCGGGAGGTGTGGAACAGGTCCTTAATGACCTCGGGGCCGTTGGCCAGCGAGTGCACGAGAATGTCGATCGACCCGTAGTCTTCCTTCACCTTGGATGCTACTTCCTGGCAGAAGGGGAGGTGAGGAGGCTATTGAGGGGGGGAGGGAGGGGTAGGTGAGAATCAGATCAGGGGGGAAGTTGAGTCGGGTCGCATTAGTTCGTTCACGGATTTTCGTTCATGTTACACAGTACATACATACAATACCTCCACAGTCCTTCCTCCCTCTCACGTCACCTCCACGGTCCACCCAGTCGACCCGGCATAGCGCTTGTTGGTGCGGTGCGGATCTCCTCGGGAACATCATCCAGCGTGTCAATGCTGGTAGGAATTTCCTCAGGCACCCCACACCCATATGCACCCACCCGCATTCACCCGCACCCACCTTGACTGTCCCTCTCACCTCAACGGTCCACCCGGTCGACCCGGCGTAGCGCTTGTTGGTGCGAATCTCCTCGGGAACGTCGTCCAGCGTGTCGAAGACGGCGTCCATGGGGTAGACCTTGGCGATGTTGAACAGCGAACCGTCGGAGAGCCTGTGGCAGGGGAGAGGACATAAATGGAGGATGGGGTGGTAGCAGGGTTGAGTCTTGGGAACATCATTCAGCGCGTCAAAGACGGCGTCTATGGTTTAGACCTTAGCGATGTTGAACAGCGAGCCGTCGGAGAGCCTGTGGCAGGGGAGAGGACATAAATGGAGGATGGGGTGGTAGCAGGGTTGAGTCTTGGGAACATCATTCAGCGCGTCAAAGACGGCGTCCACGGTTTAGACCTTAGCGATGTTGAACAGCGAGCCGTCGGACAGCCTGGAGCATGGGGAAACGGAAAGGAGAGCATTGGGGGAGGGAGTGGGAGGAGCGAGTATCGTCCAGCGTGTCGAACACGGCATCAATGAGATACACCTTGGCGATGCTGAACAGCGAGCCGTCTGAAAGCCTGTTAGCGAGTGGGAGGGGAAGCGAGCGAGTGGTATGGATCAACGAGGCGAAAAGGGAGCAAGTGGGCATTTTTTTTTCCGAAACGTCACCACGCACGACAACGGGTTTAAGGCGGACAAATGGATGGATCAACGCTAACCACGTACGGAAACGCAGAAGACGAGAGAACCCGATATCGAGAGAACCGGGGGAGGGAGGGGGAGTGGGGAAGAGCGGGGAAATGAGAGGATGAGAGGAGGAAGGGGAGAGGAGCTTACTTGCGCGACTCGTCGAACTTGCCCCTCCGTAGGCTGGTCTCGAAGATGGAGAGAGCCTGTTGTGGGCGATGGACAGGGGGAGGGGGAGCAACGGAGCAAGGGAACGAGGGAGAAACGAGCAACAACGGTGAGGGAGAACAACGCACACACAAAGAACGCACGTTGCGAAAGGAGACGACGGTTAGATCACAGAATACGAGATTGCTGACGTGAATGCTACGAGACGGAGGTAGACGGAGGGGGGAGGGAGGCGAGAAGGGAGAAGGGTTTGGGGAAAGAAGGGGGAAAAATGGCGCTGAGGGAAGAGAGCTCGCAACTCTCAACGCGAATGTAGAGCCAAGCAAGGTGTCACAACAGCTATGCGCGTCCAGGACTCACCGGCACCCACGTGCCGACGAGCACCTCCGCGCCCGCCTCCGCGAGGTGCTTCGCGATGGCCCACCCGAAACCCTGATCGTCCGCCACCCCCGCGATGAACGCGCGCTTGCCTGGAGATGGAAGAGGGGAATGGGTTGGAGAAGGGGGGGGGGGGGGGGGGGGAGGGGGGGGGAGAGGGGGAAAAAAGGGAGAGAGCGGGGAAAGAGGGGAGATGGGAGATACGGGGTTGCCTTTTAGAGTCGCTCAACTGAAGAGCCACCCAATCGCCTGGTAGTCCACGAGCGGAGCGACGAAAGCGCCAAGCCTTTTGACAGGGAGGGAAGCTTCTGAATCTGGTCTAAACAGCTCATGATCCGGCATATGTAAGCGAAAATCATTTTGTAAATCTATTGAAACGGCAATATCCCTAAAAAAAAGAAGAAAGGAAGAAGTACGAGACCAGTTCTCAGCCATGAGCAGTCGTTACTTGTATTCCAAACTTGTACCTACGTTACTCGTATTTTATATTTGTAAGTTAGCGGATCTACACTCGTTCGCCTGCCTGCCTACACACGCACCGCGGAGATCGACGCGCAAACCACCTCCGGCGGAGGCGCCGGCAGCGTCACCGTCAGCTGCAGCCGTCACAACGCTCCTGGCCCTGGGCTCGGCGCGCAACGCCACGTCAGCGTTTGCGACCGCGCAGCCCAGGGACTGGCCGGCGAACGATGACTTGGCGATCTTCGCGAACTGAGCAGTTGGGAGGATCTTCGCAGCGCCGGCAGCGACGGAGGCGGCGCGGCTGGCGGAGATCTTGGTCGCCATTGCAGCGGCAGCGACGTTTGTGGAAGAAGCGACAGCTACGAGGACACCCATGACTGCTTTTATATATCTCTTTTGATATTAAAGAGAAGAATGACGGTGTTCAGAGCCAAGATTAGGCTGATAATCCTGCTGGAGAAAAACAGCGGAAAAGCAGGAGCGACGGTAAAACTGGCAAGGAATCTGGATCGAGGAGGAAGAAATAAAGACCAGAGGGATGAGTAAATAGACATTGGATTGGAGATACCTGGCTGGGTCTGCTGCTTTTCCTTGGAAACGGATCTCTGGTCAGGAATGTCCGATCGATCAGCATTGGGATCACCGAAAAACTAAATCTCTGGCGAGATTCAGTAACGAGAGCCTGCGTGTTTCGTCAGGTGACTGACTGAAGATTGCTGCTGTCGCGATTCTCGCGAAGCGCTTCTGTGGGTTACGTAGCGGTTTCCACGTCGGTCGATCGGACGGTTGCGGAACGCGATGTGAGAGTTTTGAAGCGTCCTGGAAGGGCAGATATGTCACTGACACGTCAATCACGTCATCCGAAGCGGCTGTTTGGACACATGGCAGTGACATGGATTCCAGTGATGAGATCAGAATTGCTGATTATTACCCAGTTCGTTGTCAGAACAATGCGATAATTCAGATATTAATGGTACGCTGTCACAATTACTCTTCAGTTGTTCACAAGTCACCTAAATTTCCGATATGTGTGTCTTCGCTACAAACCGTTCCTAGCCTTCTACACCGCTGCTCAGCCAACCCGAAACCTTCGAGGCCTCACCAAATCGTTTATATATTTTTTCCGCCACCTCCTCCCCGCCCGCGCTCCTCCCTACCAATCTCCTCCCGAAATCCCCCCATCTCCTTCTCCATCTTCCGCTTGCCCCTCGTAGTTCTCCCCCAGTTCCGCCATCCCCGCAACACCCTATTCCTGTCTCCCCTCCCCTCCCCCACTCTTCCTCTTCGCCGCTCTCTTCCCTAGCAACTCACCAAGGGTTTTAGTCTAAGAACCTCCATTCCCTCTCTCCTTTTCCCTAACTCTTGGTTTGCCTAGCTGTGCCCTAGTGCACCTTTCGTTCCTTCGCAGACCGTCTCCCTCACACCTCACACGGCGCCATGACGAAGAAGGAGAACTCCCCACGGTATGCACATCTGTCTGAGATAGTTTTATCGCAGTAGTTGTTTCGCCACGGGAGGTCAAACTTTGCGGGGAGCGAGTACTTGTAAGGCGAAAAGTCCCCTGGTGCGAAGACCGTTAGTGTCGATTTTCGACCTTCAAGCCGTATAAATTTCCAGCATATGTATTCTTTAGATACAGGGATGGACGCAGATGGTGTTAGATTGACCTAAATGTACTCATAGGAAGCAGCTGGATGGATCCAGGGTTCCGAATGGGGACTTACAGGTCTTAAGTTGGAGAAGCTTTGCCCTTCAGGACCTATTTCAGGCGATCTTATTCTGATCCTTTCACCCGAGGTGCTTGGTAGGGGACAGTGCAGGCCACGAGGAATCTGAACTGGACCTTCTTGTAACCAAGCTGCGTTGCGTTGCTAGATAGCGAGTGCCTGCTCGTACAGGAGATCCGACGATGTTTCGTCGTGCGCATTCGTTATTACAAAACTCAGGCGTTAGTCCTCGGGGTCGCACAGGAGAAATCCGCCGTTGCTGCAAGAGCGGATCAGCGAGCGCTTTCCGGTCACCCCGTCGTACCAGCCTAAGCTTTAGCGTTGACTTCTAGAGCACTGGGCAGTTGAAGTAGCAGCGATCAGAACCCACCGGTTGTGGGAACCCTAGTTCCTTTCGATATTCTTTGCAACTGTTGCAGATACACGCGACCATCCCGTTCTGGGTAGCAGCCTAACAGCTCGAAACTGTTATAGATGAGGAAGGACCTTGAGTTTTGCGAAAACCGCAACCGTCGACTCTCCTCTTGGCTGTCAAGCCGCGACACCGTTATGGAATCCCAAAGCTCTCATCTCGCGCGAATATCTCTTTAGTACCGTATATGCTGAATCCCTGTTTAATGTTCCATCCTGACCGCATTCTGTCTCATCCCTCCCCCCCACCCCCTTCCCCAATTCCCCTTCTCCCTTCCCCTTCTACCTTCCTTGTCGCATCTGTCGCATTCTGCTCTGCAATTGCAGACTCTACGTGCGGGCTGTGGTGCTGGGCCACAAGAGGTGAGATCCTTGCTCGTTGTGTATTACGGGTACTTCATAAGGTCCTATAGCGGGTATAGAGTCGACGAACCTCTACTCTTTTCATCGAGTTTTTCGAGGGCCCGTGGGGCGCCATTACGGGCACCATTGTTGAGCCATTGGAGATGGGATGGTAACTCTCAACGCGTCTCGCAATCAACTCGAAAATAGGTCAAACCAATGTCCTTGCCCCGTTCCCTTACCCACCCCTCGCCACCCCTCGGGCACCCTTCACTCCCTTCTCCGCTTCTTCTGAGGGCGAGGAGGAAGCTGCACGAGCAGACGTTTTGTCTTTATTTCGACTCAGAAACTACCTTTTCAGTTCCCTGTTTCCCCAGCCTAACCTCCCACTCCCATCCCTAGAAGCAAGTCGAACATGCTCCTTGCTGCCCCTGCTCCTCCCCCTCCCCCTCCTCCACCCACCCCGGGACGTCCCGCCCCCGCACTTTCCGTGTGCCGATTTTCCCCCGGACACCCTCCTCCGCAGAGGCAAGTCGAACGTGCACGAGCACACGTCGCTGCTGCAGATCGAGAACGTGCAGAGCAAGGAGGAGAGCCAGTGGTACCTGGGCAAGCGCATCGTCTACATCTACAAGGCCAAGACGCTCAAGAACGGCAGCCTCTACCGCTCCATGTGGGGCCGCGTCACGCGCCCGCACGGCAACACCGGGGTGGTCCGCGCCAAGTTCAAGAAGAACCTGCCCTGCACCGCCACGGTGAGTTGCTGTGGTGGAGTGCGGTTGGGGTGTTTGGGATTGGGTGTGGGGGTTGGGCTGTGAGGAACGGCGGCTTTTACTGCCAAGTTCAAGAAGAGCCTGCCCTGCACCGCCACGGTGAATTGGGCGGGTGTGATTGTAGGGAGGGGTGGTATTGGATGGTGTGATGGTTTTCACCAGAAAAACAAAACCTGTCCCCGGTCACTCGTTCCATAGCCGCAGTATGTCGGGTAGAAATGTACAGGGGCTTATTGTGCAGGATTGGAAGAAGACAGGTACCATTCATTGTGCTCATGAATATTATTTCCTTGTTGGGTTTTTTTTCCTGTTTAGTGTGAGCTACAGGTGTTCGAGCCATGGTAAAGAGGGGAATACATTGAAGCATACAGAAGTGTTTCTGCCCATAATCTTCAATCTCTCTCCTGGTACTCTTTCCTGTCACACTTCCCTAATCCCCATCACTTTGCTCCCTTTTTTCTGTCTTGGGTTAACAGGGCCGCAGGGTGCGTGTGTTCCTCTACCCCAGCAACATCTAAAGGATGTCAAAATAGGCTGTCATAAGAATCCTTCTCACAGGCTTTGCTTTTCGGAAGGGCTGTCGGCATGCGTTGAAATGTTAAGTTTCAAGAAAAGGAGCAGTGCATATATTTGTATTCCCTTTGATGTATGCTGAGGCTAGATAAATGCTGATTGATAACCCAAAAGGAAGTCCTCATTTCCCAGGAGATCATCCTCATGTTGTGAGTGCGAGTGCCTACATCGGGTCAATTGCAAAATTGCGGAAATGTCGTGCACCACGTTACTCACATTCCAGCCACTTATGCGCGCTACCTCCATTTCAGCACTTCACCAATCAGCACCGTCCACGTCAATTTACAAACGCGGTGGGTAGCATGCGGGACATACGGTAATGAAACAGATGCGGTTGCTTCAAAACTCTGTAAGCTGCGTTTAGATGGTGAATTTGGCCCCTCGAAATGCTGTTCGGTGAATTCTTCAAACGCGGAATACTCTCGAATAGAGTCTGTTGTGATTGTTGAGTGCTAGTCTTAGTCTAGCGGATTTTAGTAACTACTGCTATACTCCTCCCTTTTTTCATAACGAGCTCGGTTTCGCAGGAAAGATCATGGCATTCGCCGTAATTTCCGCTCGCTCGTGCAAGCCGATAGCGTCGAGTCAATCGCTCTGTCGAGCCATCGGCGTGGCCGGCGGTGCGATCAGCACGCGCAGCGCTGACCACGGCGCGTCTCACGACGCCGACCGCGGCGCATCGATAAGCACAGATGCGGCGGGAAACCGCGAGTTTCATGGAGCTGCGGCGTCGGGAGAAGGCAGTTCCGCGGAGGCCGTCGGGGAAAGCAGCGCGCGCGCGGCACATATGGGCGGGTCGGAAGCGGAAAGAAGCACCGCGGAGCAGCGGGCGCGGGTAGGCAGTGCTCTTTAAAATCCTTTCTAGCCATAGTGTTTGATAATGAATCCGTTTCTGGCAAGAAGCGGTTTCTTGGCTGAGCTCTTTCGTTGTCCTCCCATCACCAGTGCACCCCTCCCCACTAACCGCCTTCCCCACTGCATTCTCTCAACTTGACTGGTTTCCCTCCCCCGCCGTGATCCCTTAACCGCTCCTTCCCTCCCCCGCCGTGATCCCTTAACCGCTCCTTCCCTCCCCCTCACCCACTCCAACCTCTCCTACATGTAATTCCCTGATTGGTCCGTCAGATTGTGGTGATGGGTGGAAACGGCTTTGTGGGCAGCGCCATCTGTCGCAACGCCATTGGTCAGGGGATAGAGGTGGCGAGTGTGAACCGGTGAGAATGGGTTGGATTTGGTGAAAATTGGTGTGATTCAGTGAGAGGGGTGGGTGTGCACTGTAACGATGAGACGAATGTGAGATGAGGTGGTTGGTTTTACCCTGGTGTGTGTGTGTGTGTGTGTGTGTGTGTGTGTGTGTGTGTGTGTGTGTGTGTGTGTGTGTGTGTGTGTGTGTGCGTGCGTGCGTGCGTGCGTGCGTGCGAGCGTGCGTGCGTGCGAGCGTGCGTGCGTGCGTGTGTGTGTGTTCCTGTTTTTTGTTTCCGTTCTCTTTTTCGTTTGAATTTTATTTGTCGGCTCAGAATTTGATTATTTTTGTATTCATGCGGGCGTGTGTGCGCGTGTGAATGCTTGCATGCGTGCTGTCTGCGTGTGTGCATGTGCGGCTACGTGTGCATGTGCGGCCATGTGTGCATGTGCACATGCATGCGTGCATGGGTCAGATCAGGTCAGCCCAATCGCAGTGAAGCATGGATCAAGGAGGTTGAGTGGATCAAAGGTGAGCATCTCATTTCCAACACCCATTCTACCTCAGTTGCTACCCACCTTCAAATTTTCTTCCCTTTTACTCCTTTGCAATCCTCCTCTGGACCCTTGTTACTCATGCAATGCCTTTCACCCAGTGTTCTTACTGATTCTAACCACCGCTTCTCACACCTCTCCACCCCTCTTTATCTTCTCTTCCATCCAGGCGACGCCCTGAACCCTTCTTCGTGGAAGCAGCACTTGCAAGGGGCCACGGGGGTGGTGAGTGAGTGGCCAGAGGTGTAGTGGCCCTTGTGTCCTGGCCGCAGCAGCGCAGGTGTGTGGGTTGGAATGGAACTGGAAACTGTGGTTTTGCTTTTGAGAATTCTAAAAGCAACACCAACATCACGGGAGTGGTGAGTGAGTGAGTGGGCATGGGCGGCGGGTGTGTGGGGTAGCATCGCAGCTGTAGTGACCCTTGTTTCCTGGCCGGCCGCAGCGCAGGTGTATGGGTGTATGGGTTGCGGTGGGGCAGGACACAAGTAGGCCCCTCTGTCCGTTCATATGTTGGTCACAAGTGACACAGAATAGCTCGCTCCTGTTCCATTCCTTGTTCTTTTTCCTTCTTGCATCGTCGGCAGGTCTCGTGTGTGGGCGCTTTTGGTTCGAATGAGTGGATGAGGAGGATCAATGGATATGCCAACGTGGGGGTGGTTAATGCAGCAAGAGAGGAAGGTGGGCCGGTCTAGCAGCTAGTGGGGAAGGCGGCATTTGTCTTGCATTGGTTCGGATCAGACATGGTTATATCTCCAGTGGTGTAAAAACTGAGCAATTGTTGGTTCCTAGGGGAAGATATCATGGGACATTATGGAACAATCCCATGATATCTTCCTCTCTTGGTAAAAACTGAGCAATGGGATTGTTGGCTCCCACTTTCCCTATCTTTGTCTAAGTGAGGGCTACCCAGTATTTAGGCACTTCTTTAATCATTCCGGTTTTTCCTTCCCTGGCAGGGGTGGCGAGGTTTGTCTTCATCTCTGGGCATGACGTGGGTCTGCCTTCTTTCGTTCTCAGGGGATACTACGAGGGCAAGGTATGGTGCAAATATACAGTGCAAATATACAGTGCAAATGTACAGTGCAAATGTACGGTGCAAATGTACAGTGCAAATGTACGGTGCAAATGTACAGTGCTGCTACAACATTGCCGCGCAAATTCCAGTTTTAATCAACAATTACGCTGTGCACATGCAGCAAGCACTTGCCTCTCCCGCTCCCTCCCTTCGTTCCTCCCTCCCTTCGCTTGTGGGCTTCTTCAGAAAGCAGCAGAGGCAGCTGTCATGGCAAGTTACCCCAACACAGGTATGTGCCTGCTCATGCCGCATGCTTAACATATCATACCCCATGCGTCATGCCTCATGCTTCATGCATCATACCCCATGCCTTATGACTCATCACTCCTGGCTGGTGGCTCATGTTATATCATTTTAGCACACCCTTGCCCCTCTTCCACCCACTTGCAGTTGTACTCCTTTTTCTTTCTTTATACGCACCTTCGATGTAATCCTTCCTTTACTTCTGTCTAATTCCCAATCGTCTCCATCTCTCTCCACATATCCAACTCCCCAAAATCGCTTTCGTTTCTTTCACAGGGGTTGCCCTCCGACCAGCCATGATTCACGGCACTCGCAGCGTTCCCATTTCTTCACTTACCGATCTCTTGTCCCCCATGGCTCCACACCCTCCCCCCTTATCTCTTCTGGCTCTTTCGTCGCAGGAGTTGTTCTTCGACCAGCCATGATTCATGGCACTCGCAACGTTGGCACCTACCAGCTGCCTCTCGGCTTGATCGGAGCTCCCTTGGAACTGGTGAGAGTGCTTCCAGGCCTCAACACTTTTTTGCTGCCAGCCATTCTGTCTCATTAACCCCCCCGCCTGGAGCCTGACAAAGAGTTCGCTCGACTGTCTCTTTTCACTCTCATTTCTCCTCTCCCCTTGCCTCACTCCCGTCTCTGTCCCTGATTCCTTTCCTCTTCAGGCCTTCAAGAACTTGCCCTTCCTCTCTCACCTGCCCCTGATCGGCCCAGCTCTAGTGCCTCCTGTTCCTGTCACAGCTGTTGCCGCTGTTGCAGTCAGAGCAGCATCAGAACACTCGTTCCCAGCGGGGATTGTGGATGTGTGGGGAATTTTGAAAGAGGCACGCTAGGTTAGTGAACAGCACTCTCAGCTCTAGTGCCTCCTGTTCTTGTCTCGGCTGTTGCATCGGTTGCTGTCAGAGCAGCAATAGAGCACTCGTGGATTGTGGATGTATGGGGAATACGAGGGAGCGCCATACCAGTTGTCTGTAGGCTGATGTACAGTTGGTGGAAATGAAACTTCTATCTCTAATGGTTAAGGGCACTGAATGGTACAGGAGCACCTGTTTTGTATGAGGTTGTACAATGTATAGAGCAATTGATGTACTATTACTCATTCCTACAACTTCCTGGACATGATTTCAAATCACATCTATGAAACCAGGTCTATGAAAAAAAATGCGCACAAAACATCAGGACAGTAGAGTAGGCATGTAAGGCACCAGCAGTGCACCTACCACACCATCCCCAACCACTCACACATGCTCCTCTTCCCCCTCCCCCTCTTCCCCTCTGCCTTCCCCTTCTAATTCCTCATCACCCTCCTCCACCTCTCCATGATCCCCATGCATCTGCTCCTCGCCCTCCTCCCCATGCTGCTCTACCCCATGCTCCTCCTCCCCCTCAGCATGGCCTGCTTGTGCAGCATGCATGGACGCAGCAATAAGCTGGTTTTCATGCATCTGTCGCAAATGCTCTTGCTGCTGCTGCTGTTGCTGCTGCTGCTGTTGCTGCTGCTGATGCAGCCGTTCCTGAGCGTCTTCTAGCTGCTCCTCACCATGGCCCTGCATCACCGCCTGACCTTCGCCTGACATCTGTTGCAGCCCATGCGCTTCCTGCATCAGCAGCACGCTGTTATCTAGCTGACCCTGCGCCGCGGCTGCTGCTGCTGCAGCAGCAGCAGCTTCGTGCAACATGTTTTCTTCCAGAACCTGCTGCTGCGAAACTTCGTGCTGGGCTTCATGCTTCGGAAGGACATTGGGATCGTGTGGCATACCCATGCCTGCCATGTGAACCATGTCGCCCTGAACAGCTTGAGTAAACGTCTGCTGCTGCATTTCCATCAGCTGCTGCTGATGCAAGACTTGTTGCTGGTGCGCATGATGCGGATCAGACTGCTGGTGCGTCATC